TTAAAAAGTCATTCTTTTCAGTTTAAACACAACTAAATATGCTAAAATGTATTTCACTATAAATCTGAATGTGTTATGTGATCGACGACATTATCATTTCATTATAAACTCCGTTTTTATAATGACAAAAAGAAAATCAAATAAATATATTCGCGTGCAAAAACCAGTCGAGACGTAACAAAACTTCGGAAGTTGTACGAGACGTCTGATGTTATATTTCAATGAAAAGTAATAATTAAAATAATTTACCATAATACTGATTATAGATGAATAACTTAACTTCAAAAAATGCTAAGAATCTTGTCGTATTTTTGCCCTTTTTTCCCAAAAATATGAGGGTAAACTAAACTTTATAAACCAAAATATACGGCCGTAACAAGTTGCTATGGCTACAGTGCTTCCACTTCCAAAAAAACATTTCCATACTTCTTTTCTCACATACCACGACATAACTATCATGTTAAATAATCATCCCTATTCTTAATTTCGTTTAACTGAGGCGAGGGGTTGCTGCATGCATGTATTTCTAGTAAGCCAGTAAAATGGCAATGATTAGAAGCTCGAATGAAAAGTAAGTTGATATCTTGAGGCAAAATACGTTTAACGCATGCAGTCTGTAATATTTCAATGTCCTCAGCAATTCGATATTTCCACCGTAATAAGGCGTAATTAGAGCTTGATATTAGATTTTTACCCTAAATATTTAAGAAAGGACTTTTTCATTGATAAGTATACGTAAGACGGGATTTCTACGTGACAAGCAATGATTGTCAGTGAGCTTTTTGAATATACAGATACAAACGTAAAAGATTTTAATAGTATAAAAAGAAGTATACAATATGATTTGTTAAGAAACAATTTATTAATGACGACACAATACATGAAAAACAAGTCACAAACTCAGCAAATTTGCCATCCTGGATTTCAAATTTACAGAGAAATTGCAAGGCTGGCTAACTTTTGGTATCAATGGTCTCATGAAATCACCACCTTGTCTCTCTTTTTTAATTCTTGAACTTCGTTTATTGGGGATGATACCTCCTCCTCTCTTGTCTTTTTTTTTCTTGAATTCTCTTGCTCCTTCTTACGGGGTATTTTACCATTTTTAATCCCAGTTGTCTTTCTTCTGTAAAATAATTTCATCTTTGACAATTTTTTTCCGAACTTCTATGACCGAACCTTCCTTTATTGCTTTTTCTACCTCTCTCGAAAATTTCTCAGGAAACGGCAACGATGAGCTCCTTTCCGGGGTATTTGGTGTTTATTCCTAGCTCTCCAATATATCGACTACCACCACTAACATTTATTATAAAGATATAGTAAGAAAAATTTCACATTATTAATAATACCGGACAGAACAAAAGGCATGCCCAACAGAACAATTTTTCTAAAATTAAGCTGCCACAAAGCCAATCCTTTTTGGAGTACCACTCCTTCATGAATGACATCCCCTTATTTTTAATATTTAAATTTGGTCGTTCCTTGACAATAACATTTTGTTCGACAGTTGGTCGAACAGAAAAAGATGTTTAACAACAAAGCATTTACAATATCGGATACACATGATAGAACAGAAAGTACTTATAGGCCGAATCATGTCACCCGGATTTTTCCTTTCTTTTCTTTTCATTTCCGATTCCAGAAAGGTTGGAATTTGATTTAAGTAAGACAAGCTTTATCATACGTTATCCCATATATTTCGACCGGAGTTTGTGACGAATAATAAAAAAAACTTTCAAAAAACGTTTCAAAAATGTTTAATATTTATTTGTTTTACACCTTTTCATTTGACGAACGTGATGTTAGCCTATGGAGCAAGACATTTCACAAAAAATAGCTTTTTTAGTAATACTCCGGAAATAAATTTTAATGGTTTATTAATTTTAATATTTTGCCAATACATTGATTGAACTTATCCATAAAAAATTTTCGTTTTTTATAAAAAATCTAACCGTTCCTTGGAACGACACTTTCCATAATAGTATACTTGTGCAAATGTGGATTCTTTTATGCGGGATTCGTAAATTTAAATACAAAGGCTTTGACTGGGTTCTTTTCCATTTCAAAATAGGAAATTAACACTTTACTTACGTGCGTATTTGAAAGATACTTATTTCAACAGTCTTTGAAAACATTTTGAATTGAAATTATTGAAGTGATCGTGTCTTCAGAGAAACAATCAAGAATCCTAAAATATTTACTGCATTAGAACTAAAAATTCTTGTTGTGTTCAGTTCGATCTTTGCCTGAATGTCTATTATCAATTTAAACTTTATGTTGCTTACCTTTCACGATGTATGTTGTGTACTTTTTTTCTCCTCCTACATGTACGTGATGTGCGTCCTTGTGTATTTTCGAAATTTATGTTTTGATAACTAATATTTCTATTGTATTGTGTGTCCGTTCTTCTGTTCGCGTTTTCAATTAGGTGACTTGTTCGTGTATACGTGCTTATTATTATTAAAAACTCCTTAACTCTTCCTCTTTTGTGCTGCAAAAAGTGTGTTCTCGGCGAAAAAACTTATTTAGTTTTGTCCGTGAAGAGGCAAAATGATTTCAACCTGAATTCCACTGGAGAACATACTCGATTCTTCCTGGTCCAGCTACAACGCCTCATAATGGCACTGGGGTGTATAACAGAAAAATCTCTTGTAAATATTTTCTGGAAAGAAAAAGTATACGGATTGGAAAGACGTATACGGATTGAAAAGAGTTCATTAGTGACACCAAAAAGATTTTGCGAACATCGTGTATCAAGAACACAATTTTATATTTGGAACTCTAAGTTGTATAACCTCCAATACAACCACTGGACTAACTGGACATTCTTTCTGAGGATAGAGTTCAAGTGGTTTTCTGTCTCTTGAACTTCAGTAAAAGAAGTATTTCCACCTTTATCTTAGGAATCTCCCCTAATCGATCACCATTGTAAACCGAATATCGCTTCCCCAGTTTACTCCTTGTGGTAAATGTTACCGATGGTTACTCTGGGATTTTAGAGGAACGTTTCACCTACGCATTCAACCCCTCATCTATAGTTCATAAGAACTCAGAATATCTCAACCCATGTAAGAAATACCTCCACCACCTTGCCAAACCTACACCCGTGCTTAAACTAGCGCTTCTATAATCAACATGAACCACCATCAACAACTATACCAACTCAGTCTATCATTGATCGACCGCGATGAAAGATACTATGTATAACTGAACATAAGTTCAGATTTTGCATATATTATTCAGTATACAGTCACAATTCCAACAACAACAACACACAGGAATGGGTCATCTTATAAAACAATATACTGTACCTCGAGTCAGCTAAAACAACTATTTTACAGAAAAAGTTGCTGTCAAGAAAACGCGAAGGTGGAAAATATAGATTTCGAATGTGTTAATGCAATACCCAACTTGTTTGAAATGAATAATACTCCTTATGGACGTCAATTATAAACAAAGAACTACGGAGATCCTTACTGGTGATGATCCCCACAGTACATGGATGACATTTTTGAAAAATATGGAACAAATTACTATGCAGGGCTAGACGCTCGTCAATTTTAAAGAAGCCAAGCTGGGGCCGGATATGTATCCACACTTTGCACACATCAACTTGTACTAGGAATTGAGCAATGTTCAGGTTATCTCAGAAAGTGCTTCCTCTGTTTCATGGTGTTTGGCCTCAAGTCACACTGAAGAACGTGTCCCTAGCTCTAATTATAGCTTGGGAAGTTCTTGTAATTTTGTTAACCTTATGCTTCACTTTGAGCAATTATAAGGTGGTGTGGCGTCCCACATTTAGTGGGTGATTCATGTCAAATATGAGGCTCCTGGCTCATTATTATTTGTTTTTCTTTACATCTTTTGTTTGCTTCCAAATTCTCTTCAGTTCCTTCATTCATTAATTTCTTTAAGAGCGAAATTCAAATCCTGATATGATAAAATATGAATCATCTGAATCTCGTTCACTTCACCTTGCCGGAAAGAATCCACATTTGTAAAGTTTGATACAACAGGAACGGGTGCATTGATTAATTAAATGACAATATAATTTTGTCTCCCGTTTGCGTATTTCACGACAAAATCATTAAAATAACAATGAAATTAAAAAGCGGAAACATAGTTACAAACAGATATTTTTGTTGAATGTTTTGCTATACATACTACGTACACGATATCTAAATTGACTTGAAGATCACGAGGTATTTCTAGGTCTTTATGCCCGGTGTCACAGCGGATTTGGACCCCCCGCGGATATGGACCCCCGGTCCATATCCGCTAGCGGATTTGGACCCCCCGGTCCATATCCGCTAGCGGATACGTACCCCCTCCGCGCGGATTCGGACCCCCAATATTTAGATAAAATTATAAGCCGCTCGTTTCAAACATCTCGCTTTTCATGGGCCTGGCTATTGTTTTTGCCACCATAAAACAAGGCGCCGTCTTTCAAAACAAAAACTTTTCGGCTTTCTTTCTAAGATTTTTTTTATCTTTTCCAGCACTACTAGGATAGCTACCATCACAAAGATAATTAAAAATTTCATAGTAACAATTCTTTTCAGTCATCGCAAAGTGTGCCACTTATAAGACCAACCGCAAAATATTTAGTATTTACTGTCCTTCTATCACCAAGATACAACGCACGTGCTGGTTCATATGGTTGTAAATTTATTATCGAAATTAAGATACCTAATAGCATCAATTAACTGTCTTGGAGTTTCCTTGCCTTCTTCTTATTCTCTTGTAGTTTTCCATGGCAAAAGCGTCAGTCGTTTTTTGCCAGGAAAATCCTCCTGCTTCAAATTTCTCATCCAGGCCTCTATATAACCTTCCGATTTTGCATTTTTGGATTCAATATTTAACCATTTTTGGTCATTTTTAGTTTCAAACGAATCTGGATTTCCTTTCATCTTGTACCTATCTAGCGATCCTAACAAAACTCCAGACCACAACGGCATTCACCAACGTATGATCTTATGAATTTAAAAAACTCAGGGCACCAGCTTCTATTCAACGCTGCATCTACGTTTTTAGTGTTGTCCATAACGATCTGTCCGATAATTGGATTTAACAGATTTTCAAAGTGACTGTCAAAAGAATTCTCTGATATAGTTAACGCTGTTTCCCAGGCGTCATCCGTTGAAGTTGTATCTACATGATTCTCGACGTTTTCCACGATGTCGTCTATTGTCTTCGAACCCATCTTTTGTACTCTTCCGACAATCCTATCGTACGATATTTGGACCTGATCATCAAGGAACCTATTCATTAGGCAAACACATATATCTACTAAAATCATATCGAATTCATCCAAAGTTGTAGAATTCACAAGAAGGGACATGCAATACATGTTGAAACGATACCAAACTTTTTCGCGGCGATCAACATTGCTTTCTCTATTCCGCCTTTGACGCCCTATGGCACTCAAATTTTTATGAACGATATGCATGAAATGACTACACCCGACATGTGGTATCCTAAGGACGAAGTCGCCTTCTGCACCATTTTTATGTAGCAACCGATATGCTCTATTTAGGAACATCACCAACGATTCGTTATTAAATTCTCTAAGAATTGCTAAGATTCGCTGTCATCTGCTTGAGGTGGGTGGTATACTACACAAACAATAATACATGAAATTCCTCTGGGAAGCCGGTAAGGTCTCAGTTTAATCCACAAACACTCATGGTTAGGACAATCTAGGTTTGGAAGGGTCACGAAGGGTATTGAAGATTTGACAAATACGCAAACTCCTCCGCCCCGTTTCTCAACACAGTCATTTCGAACTAAAGCATAACCCTAAATGTGTACACAGCTGTCAGGAACATTTGAATTTAGCCAAGTCTCAGTTATTCCAGCCAGATCTACCTCGTTTGTTTTTAAAACGACATCCAATTCATCAATTTTATTAGATATAGCCCTCACATTTGATAGGAAGAGTTTTGGTAGTTGGGTGTCTCTAATTGGGGCAGGTTTACTTAAATGTTTCCTAATTGTAGCTATTTTTATCAAATTTTGTAAGTGCCTTCTCTCTTCTTAACTTTTAAAATTGTTTTGCAGTTGGTAATTCGAATACTCGTCGACGTCGGCTGTTGATTTAGCTTCTTTCAAACTGTTTATTTGAATAATAATGCTATCCATTTGATTAAGTATATTATCGACCCCTGACTTCATTTTACTAATTTCTTGGGAATTCTTTTCAATCCTTTTTTCATGATTCGATTCAGCGATTGCTATATCGAGTTTGGTTCCTTCTAGATCGGCGGATAGCTCGTTACAACGGCAAGAGGACTCCGAAGCACTTGAACGCGTGGCGCTATTTAGTTCAACGACACTTGGATTACCCAAAGGCGATATCAACCTTTGCTCAATCACATGGTTGTTAGCTTCAAGAAGAAGTGTTTTCTTCTTACACCACCAAGTCATGATTGGGACATCATCACACCAGAGTACTTTTCTTCATTCTCCGCCAGGCGATGTCTACACGCCGTCAATTTTCAAATATTCGCGTTCCTTCGCCAACTGCGGTATAAATGCTTCCTTCTTAAAGCCGTATTTCTGAGGCCACATTTTGTCAAGATGATACCCCAGTACCCTTGCGGTCTTCTCCAGCCCTCTCCTATTTCTCTTCCTTAGCCATAGATAGCATTACCTCGATCACATTTTCGAACGATACAAAACCAGGGGAACGTTTCTTACGTCGTACCATCTTCACAGCGGATGAATAGATTAAATATTTACATTGTGAATGATATAAAGTTAAAGTAGAAATATGATCAGGGGTGGATCCAAGTGCACAAATTTGCATTACAAAACAAACAAAGATTTAACAAAGTGGTTATTTTTAGCAGTTTTCTTGTGTTTAGTGCTGGATTCGGGGAATATGATATATGCATGCGAGGTGAGGATGTGCGGAACATTGTGGTAGAGGATGTGCGGAACATTGTGGTAGAGGATGTGCCTTTATGACCCTATGGCTATGGTGATGTTGAAAGAAGAAAGAAGCTTCCACAAAAAAATTAGGTAGGCCTTCATTGAAGGCTTCAATAGACAATGAAGTGTTAAAGGAAATTTTTGACCATGTACTTAACATTCACTCAACTTATAGATTACTGATAGCACACCTTCAAGCAATATGTCCAGACACAAGTCCACCAGATGTAAAATATTTTGATAATGCCACAAAGTTTGAACCAAGACAACTTGATGGAAGCTCATGTGGTGTTTTTGTATGCATGGTAAGTGAAAAACAGAATTGATATAAATTATTAATATATTGTAGTTATGTTTTCCCATTGCTTCAATTAATGTCTAAGGGCATATTTTGTTTTAGGTAGCTGATTATATGGTCAATGGTTTGGAAGGTAATCATATTCATATTGAAGTACAATTTCTAGTAACCACATTATAAACCACAAAATATCCTGCTGTATTTTAATATGCATTTGCATTTTTTACCTAAAGGAAGACATACCATGTTTAAGGAAATACATGGCTGTTCGCCTAGCAAATCCTGAAAAGTACTCCAAATACCAATAAGGTATGTTAATGAATGTCACTTAAAATCTATTGTTGACAGAATGGAATTGTTGAGAACTATTCTCATTAAACTAAATTTTTGGTGGCAAGTACAAGACAATTCATTAACCAATACCAAATGCTTTCAGGAAACAAAGTGAACATCACAACAAGGATGACCATGGCACATACACACTTAAAGCAAAGGTTACAAATATTTTGTCTCTATCAGATGATGGCTTGGAGCAGGTCTTTAAAGAAGTGTTAAAGAAAGGTGATAAAGGATTTTTAACAATTAGCTTGGTTTGTAAGCGATTTAGAGTCTTAGACAGATATAGTGGCTGCAGGGCGTGGTGGCTGGGGGGGCCGGGGGGGCCGCGGCCCCCCTGTGAAGCTCTTGAGAAGGGGCCCAAATGCAAACGACATATCAACCTGATGAATTTCGAGCAGACATGAAGGAAGCTATACAAAGTGAGCTGCACCAATTTTTCAAATCAACTGACTTTAAGACGATTCTATCTGAAGCAGTAAATACTCTCATCGAACAGTCCGTCCAACAAGCTACATTTCCTCTTCTAAAGCGAATTGAAGCGCTGGAGACAGAGTTAACAAATGTCACGATAAAAGCGAATGAAAATGAGCAATACTCAAGAAAATATAACCTACGAATTATAGGGTTGGACGAAACCGATGGTGAAGATTGCGTTAAAGAGGTGGTTCAGTTTTGAGGAAAAGCTGCATCTAAACATCAGTAACGAGGAAATTGATCGCGCACATCGTCTTGGCCCAAAGATCTCAACCCGGTCAAGAACGCTAATTGTCAAATTTAAATCATACAGTACAAAGGCCGCAATTTGTAAACGACGAAAAGATCTGAAAGGCACACAGTTTTATCTAAATGAAGACCTGACCAAGTACAACGTCAGTTTGTTCAAATACGCTCGTGAACATAACACTTATATTAAATTTGTTAATGGTCATATTAATGCCGTATGTCCTGAGGCGAAACATTGGAACGGGGTCTCTAGATTATGACCACTTAAGATTTTACTCAGTGAGATCAAAATAAATTTTTAAATACGTTTTTTAATTGGAGAACTCGGTGGAATGGCATATAGTACGAGACAATTGTGTTTTAAAATTTGTCTTCCTGTGTCTGTATTTCTCACATTGCAACCATTTATTTCATCCGTACATGAAAGGACCATTCGTATATTTTGGTCTATCCCAATCTTTCTTCTATAGAGCTTTAGTAAATACAGCGAATATTTGATCTGAAAACAGTTGCTTCAACTGGCTTATTGTACCTTGGATGAAGAAAAAAATCTTCTATACTTGCAGTATTTCGTCATGAAATCTAAAATGGTTATAAAATGTCATAAACTATGGCTATATTCCGCAATTCATATGCGATCTAATACACAGAAGCATTTTTTAATGGTCAAATTAATGCCGTATGTCCTCAGGCGAAATATTGAAACGGGACCTTTCGATTATGACCACTTAAGATTTTATTCAGAGAGACATGAATAAATTTCGACATACGTTTTTTTAATGGGAGAACTCGGTGGATTTTCATATTGGCCGAGACAATCGTGTTTTAAATTTGTCTTCATTTGGCTAGATTTCTCACATTGGAACCAAATATTTCATCTCCAAATGAAAGGACCATTCGTACGTTTTGCATGGTCTATCGCTAATCTTCGTTGTAAGTAGCTTCCCAGTGAGCACACGACGTCGTTTCGACGTTGATTTATGGTTGAATTTTGGTCGCGACGTCGATCAACCCAATATCGACTTCGTTTCGACGTGGATTCACGACGTCATATCGACGTCGCAAACTGACGTTGTTTCAACGTTGTTTCGACGTCAGGTAAAACTAGATTTTGCTGCGTTTGCCGCATTTAAATTGTATATGAATTCACAACAATATTGGGAAAGTGTTGTGAACATCATATATGCAGTGTAATGATGTGTTTTTGTCGGGTCGTTAAAGCGTCGATATATCAACCTATTCTCGACGTCGTTTTCGCGACGTTTATTCAACGTTGTTTCGACGTTATATAAAAACATTACAGGACCAGCTTGCAAAGACTCGCAATGGTAATAATGTCATTCCTGATAGATAGTTAGGACGAAGGTTGCGATTTTAAGAAGTGTTGAAAATTAATTTCTATGTACACACTATTTAAAACCATTATTAAATACCTCGGGCCTCCCCGGAGCAACATCGGTCATGCATCGTTGGTAGAGTGCACGCAGTGCATTTCGGGAAAGTCGAATTGAGCGCGTCCATTTGAAAATTGAAACATGTTGTCGCGAACGGAATATGAAACATTGTAGCTGTATATTTCGGGATATTTTCACAGGATTTTCTCAGTTTAATGGTTGGATATCTTCCGCATAAATCCAAGAAAGCAGTAAAGGTTAGTGAGAGTCAGTTTTACAGTGTGTATTGCCATGACAAAGGCCATGAATCGCGAGATATGAATACGCGATCGTGACATCGTGATTATATTTTGAAATTTAAACGTTTAAAACATTGCCCAAACTCTTTGATTCTCTTTTAAAAATGGTTCAGCTAAACGAATAACGATACTTGCTCATTAGATTTTGTTAATTTATGTTTCAACGTTGTGTGATCGCAGGTTATTCATTCTAATATGATTTTGTATATACAGTAAAATCGCCATATTTGACGCCAGAACTAATTGCATTTATAATCCAATTCAATCCGCTACTTAGTTTTGATAATTTAGACCCAATTTATGGTTCCGTATGTTAGTCGTGTGTTCTTTATGGGTTGAACGCGATTCGATTTAGCTATTTGCTTTGATTTTTTGAAAATTGCGTACTATTACACGGGACGAAAAGTTAGATTTGCACAAAATTTGCACCAGATGCAAATTTGGTGCAAATTTCGTATTTTGAATTTGCAACCATTGCGTATTCATCTTTGCAACCGAATAAATTTGCAACAGGTTTGCCACAAATTTGCCAGCGTGGTAAATTTATCCCAAAATTTGCAAGACATTTGCGTATGGGTGCCAATTTTGAGCAAATTAATCAGGCTCTCTAGTAAATCCGTAAATTCGTTAAAATCGGTTGTTATGCTTTAGCATACAAAAATAAGTATGTAAAACCCCCAAAAGATATTAAACACGGCTTAAAATAAAATTTTCATGTGTTACTAGCATATATATTTCCAACAAATTGGCAACAAATTGGCACACAAATTTGCATATAAATATTACTGTAGCAAATATAATACCAAATCCGTGTCAAATTTGCTGTATAGAGCAAATCTATTGCAATTTTGTTGAATTGAATTTTCGAACGATTTCTAAATTAAATTTCATTTGACGTCCGAACTGATTTTCAAATCACAATTACTATTATAAACTATATCTATACTTATTATAACCATCTAAACGAAGACCTTATATTAATTTGGTTGAAACCTATACGCGGCTTCATTTTTAGCGTTTTTCTAGTGCGTTAAAACCTTTTTTTATCGTTGTCGATTAATTTAAATTAGATTGTAAACCTCTGGGTATCGGTTGCGTGAGTATTTGAGCGCAAGTGTGCGGGGGCGGATTAGCTTTATGAGTGTCACCGGGCGATAGGGGGAAGATGCTTTACCTGTTATATTACCAACATTAAATGAGATAGATCGCTAATTGTTCTTGTTAAAGTCACTCCACTTTTAAAAGAAGGAGACTTTGAAATATATACAAAATGATAACCGGCCTCTGTCACGCTCCCAGCAGCTTCGCTAAATGCTGCATGTGGTCGCGCAAAATCAATTTACTGAGTATTTAACTAGGGAAAAAACGCCTTATATTACGGTTCATCAAAGCAGTAATACAAAGAGTCATTCGACAGAAATCTATTTTTGACAGATGCGATCTTGGATGCTATATGGATGGGAAGGAATGGAATACAGTCGCTTGATAAGATTTATCAAAGGCGTTTGAAAGCGTTAATCATCTGAACTTCTTAACAAACTTCGCTCAATGGGTGCTTCTACCGAAACAATAGCTTGGTTTAAGAGTTATTTGTCTAAAAGGAAACAGTTGGTCAAAATTGGTCATAATTTGTCAGATATATACTTGCTCGGTTGAATATGGTGTGTCTCAGGCCTCCATGCTTAGTCTATTGTTATTTAACATCTGTCATTTACCGACTGTTCCTGACAAGTGCACGTGCCCCTTGGAATCTTCAGCGGACGATTCAAAAGTCTACTTGTCGTTCTTTATTATAAATAAGTCTAGCACAGGCTCAACTTAGGAATCATTTGCAGAAAATTGCAGCGTGGTGCATGCAGCGAGGTGCATGTTTTTCCAATAGTTTGCTTCTTAATCCAGAAAAAAACTTCTCTTATTTGGGTCACCACAAATGTTGAAGGGAATACAAGATTTCAGTGTGTCCTTTCTTGATAAACAACTACAACCACTGTCCGCTGCAAACGATTTGGGATGGAATTGGATGGGTGTTTAGTATCGAAATGTATGAAATCTCTGTCAAATTAACCGAATTAAACATATCCTAGATGACCATACCCTTGTGACAATAATAAACTAACGCTTTAGTATTCAGCAGATTACGTACATTACTCTTCTTCTGTTTAGGCGCGAATACACGAAACAAGAGTGTCGCCAAACTGCAACGTGTACACAACTTTCCTGCAGCAATAGTGACTGCGAAGTAAATTGGCTTCCCGTCAGTTACATTTCAAAGATGCAGTGATGACTTTCAAGTGCTTAAAAGGACTGGCTCCTTCATACCTATCAAGCAGATTTTCATATCGATCAGAGGCACATAATCGTGACACAATATATAATTAAGGGGAAAATATATTAATACCTAATGTTATTTCCTCATGACTTGTTCTAAATTAATAAAACTATTCTTTATGCAAACTAAGTTTAGAAATTCTCGGGATTTTGGCAAGTTTTACTGTGCAATTTTGTTAGATTTATATATTTTATTAGGTTTTTGGACTATATGATCTCGGAAAGTAAACAGTTAACAGTTATATTATTACGGGTCTAGATCTTGGAAACAGGTTGTGGTTGTAAGTGACAGCGTCCGCTATGATCTCGCACCTTTGTTTCTGACTATTGTCAGTAAACCTAGAGCTCCTTACATCCTGTTTACCCATGCATGCTTTTTAAAGACCCGAGTTATTTCCTTTGAAAGAATAAGCTATGGAAACAAACTTCGCATCGACGATATCCTTCAAACGCAATCAGTTAAAAAATACCAAAATCGTTCCTTAGCATTATAATTATGTAATATAGTACATGCTGCTTTCAAACGAGGATTTTTATCATTTTTAACTAAAATCTTCGACCAGAACCAGTGCAGTCGTTCAAAAATGTCAGTAAAAGCCGAAAGCTATGCATAGGGTTACGCAGGCCTGGTTTTCGGCGCCTAGCAGTCAACAGAGCAGCCTCTCTATACCCTACTACAAAGCTTTTTGGTTTAAAAATAAAACACAAAAACAAAACAGCTGAAAAACAAAGTTTACTCAACTACGTTAAAATTACTCCATCTATTGGACTTTCCTTACCCGTTTCTTCACCTGAATTTTGACCACGACCTTTAATTAATCGAGGCAGTATCAAGGCTGATGATTTGTATGATTTCTAAAGGGCGTCAGAATCAAAGATCAGGAAAAGTAATACCACGTTAAT